CAGAGACTGGCGAAACGTCAGGAAGAACAACCTTCAGAACACGGCCAAGGAGCCCGAAAAACCCAGAACAACTATTTTCATATGCATTACCAGAACTGGCCACTAACGGGCACCAGAGACCATATTGTGAGCCGCCCAGAGTAGACTATGTCTAGGTGGGCGGCATATAAATGCAATAAATAAAAATAAAAAAATATGTTACAATATAGTATATTCCTCACCAATAAATATTCATAGTATGGCCTCTGGCTCCCTCGAATGGCTGGTTCTGGTAATACATGTGAAAATAGTTTTTGTAGATTTTTTTCTTTTAATATTTTTAGACTGTGGATAAGTGAAACTGTGGATACTGATTCCATGGATATGTGGTCCCACTGTATAGAATTTAAACAAACAAACAAACAGTGTATTCGGAACCACTTGGTCTCCCCTGCTTACCCTACTGTTCTTTCTCTTCTTCTTCTGCTTCTCACTATACTTTCGCCCTGGGATTTTTTCCCCACTCTGACCTGAATGCCTGGCCCTTCCATGTGATCAACCTCTGCAATGCTCCCCTGGCCACCCTATTTCACTATTTTTCTCTGTCTACCCTACTTGGTGGAAGAAACATCAATAATTTTAAGACATGCACGTGACACCGTCTTGCCGGCAGAAAGCACCAATGCCTTGAAATGACTTTTGCTTAAAGTGCAAAAATAGGACTGCAGTCGAACATTAAGCCAAAAATCATGGATACAGAAGAACTACAACGTTAAGGCCAATGACAAAGAAATTGAAATAAAAGTTTTGATATACTTTGGTACAAGCATCAATCCAAATGGCGACTGCAGAGAAGAAATCAGAAGGAGACTGAGAACAGGAAGGCCAAAAATGGAGGAACTAGAAAAGATAATAAGGATGGGTCACCAGGTATGGGTGTGAAAGCTGGACAGTAAAGAAAGCTAATGGAGGGGGGAGTGATTTGTTTGAAAGGTGGTGCTGGAGGAGAGCTTTACAGATACCTTGGACTGCCAGAAGGATAAACAAGTGGATCCTAGAGTAAATCAACCCTGAACTATTTCTGGGGGCCAAAAAAAGGTTGAAACTGAGGCTTATCTTACTTTGGGCATATCACCAGAAGGCAGGTCTCCCTGGAAAATGCAGTAATGCTTGGAAAAGTTGAAGACAGCAGGAGAAGAGGAAGGCCAAATATGAGGTGGATTGATTCCCTAAAGGAAACCACAGTTCTGATAGGACATTGAAGATCGCTGATTCGTAGAGTCACCCTAAGTGGAAGGTCACTTGGCAACATGTAACAACTCTCTTGCTATGGGTCTCCTAGGCGTCTGCCACCTCCCTCCCGCTTTGTCTTCCCTGGTGAAGGAAGGTCTGCCACCTAGTGACTGTGAACTGCACTCAGACTGAAAAGGGGAAAAAAAATCTTCATTTTCAAGGATTGCCACGACCGTCGTGTCGATTTCCGGACGCCTTGGTGGCTCAGCCTTTAGACAACTGGCTGAGAATTACCTACACCCTTTTATAATGATAAAAATGATTTCAAATCATTCATCCCATAACCTGCGTCTCCGTACACGGTTCCTCTCATGCAGACATGTACAAAAAGATACACCTGGTTATCAACTGTAGGTCTCTTTCCTAATCTTGTTCTGTTACAAAAAAACAGATTTTGCGGCATCTTAAAAATGGCCAGCCTTTTATCTGGTATAAATGGAAGCTTATGCCAAATAAAAAGCAGTTGCTTTTTGATTTCTTCTTTTCCTGCCACAGAAGACTCAGGATCCCTCCCCCTCATTCTTTTATCACATGTGTGTGTGTGATGATGATGATGATGACGATGATGATGATTAATTATTCCTGCCCATTTTAAATTTCAAAATAAAATAGAACTGGAAGTCAGAATGACAATCTTGCTTTAACATCATCCTTTTACATCCTCCTGAGATGATGGCATTTGAATGATCAGCAACGGACCGGTGAACGGTTGGCGTTAATGTCTTTATTTTTCATTGGCGCATTCTCCCTTTAATTTCTCTCCAAGGTCCTTGTCTATAAACCGCATCCTCAAAGGACATCTATTTGCACCTTGTGACGGAAGGTAAAGCTTTCAGGCATCTGAAGGACTGAGCCATGGATTCGGAAATGTCACCGTGCAGAAAATCGGTTAGCTTCGAAAGGGTAAAATATTTTTAAAGAGGCAACACATCAGAAATTGCAAAGAAAGACTCCAAAGCAACTTTTTTGCCTTTTCACTCAATGCTATTAGTGTTTCAACGTAACCATGTACATGTCCTCTTTACAACATAGTATTTATTTCAGCCTGAGCTTCATGTGCTGGAGTGGTTGTGCACGCACGCACGCACACATGCGCACACGCACGTGCGCACACACACACATGCGCACACGCACGCGCGCACACACACACCAGTTCCTTGAGTCTTCCTCCTCTTGCAAACAGTTTCCAACACACACACATGCGCACACGCACACGCGCGCGCACACACACACCAGTTCCTCGAGTCTTCCTCCTCTTGCAAACAGTTTCCAAAAGTTACCTTTTGAGCCGCCACTCCTCAAGTCCTGCTTGTCATGATGATGGGATATGTCGTCAGAGACGTAGTCATCTTCACACAGAACCTGTCTGACTCCATCTTACATTTCTCTGACTACATATCCCATCATCATGACACTGCTCATGGAGGGTTTCCAGGAATTACAGTAAAGAAATGAAAAAAGTAATATTTTTCCTCCACTAACTCCGTTCCTGAGAAATGGAGAAAAGAACCACTCAGGGAAGGGGTGTACCGAAATGTTTTTTTAAGATATTACCCCTGAAGTCTCAGCTACAGCACAGACCTCTCACAATATAATAAACCAAGTCTTTATTTTGAACCAGAAAGATCTGGGTTTGAACCTCTGTCGTCACCAGATAGCATTAGGCTGGTCTCAAACCCTCGGCCCACTCGCAGGATTTTTGTGCAAAGAGAAAAAGCGCTTCCTTCCACTTATAGAGTCCTGAGAGATAAACACAACATGAATTCTTTATTAAAGAGAATTTCTGCACCCCTCTTTAGACGGACCTTTCTTCCTGGCTTCTTTCCCTGGGCAAGGAAAATAAAAAGAAGCCACCCTGACCATCAAGAAGCTTCTTCGACTACATCTCCTAGGTGTGTTGAGTTTTGCATTTAAAACCGATGCATTCAAAAAGTGGTGTTCACTGGCTAACCTATATTTTCTGGGACCCGAACGCTTGAATTGTTATGGGGGCACCTTCGCAGCCGGCGATGAGGTCTGGGAAATCCTTGTTATTTTCTCCAGTGGGGTCGTTTCACAACAGATGGCCACAATTATTTGAAAAAATCTGGACCAAAGTCGCTTCAAGGACCCCTTGATGGATCCTTCATCTGTCCCTGGTGATGCTGGAGGAGAGCTTTACGGACCACCAGAGAGAGAGAGAAACGAGTGGCTGCTATAGAAAACTGAGCCTGAAATCTCTCTGTAACCAAAGAAATGATTAAAAGGAGGCCGTCCTAACTTGGAACTACGATAGGAAGAGCAAGATTCACACAATGGAAAAAGACCAAAATGCTGGGCAGGAGGAAAAGAGGAAGGCTGCCTATAAAACGGGTTAAATCCAAAGAGGAAACCACAGCCTGGGAGTTTTTAGGTCCTGAGCAGATCTGTTAATGAGAGGATTTGCTGGAAGTCGTGGTCAGCACTGGCTGAAGGATGTTTCAGGGGTCCCAAGAAGCATCGCAAGTGAAAACCCCTCCCCGTTGGACCCCCCCAAAGGATCGAGGAGATCGTCTTTTTAAAAGGAAGAGGCCGCGCGGAAGTTTAGAATTAAGAGGAACGGGGATCCAGGGAGGTTTTTAGGGGAAACCAAACTGGCAGGCTTCAAGGTGTCACAGGACGCTTCGCGGATGAAATGACCAGAATGGAAAGGAAGGGCTTAGCGCATGAAACGCGGGGATCGCTTCCTCCTCCACCTCTCGGGGCTTTAAGGGGAGATCCAGCCACCCGTCTCAGCCAAACCCGGGGTAGGATCTGCCCCCCTCCGGGGCCAAGCCAAGCCCGGTGCCGGCAGAGAAGGGGCGCTGGAGACGCCCGGGGCGCGATGCCTTCCACCGGCCCACACTGCACGCCTCGTCCTCTCCCAGATCCTCCCGCGGTCCCCCCTCCCAGGGCAGGCTTACCTGGCATACTGCTGGGGGGACCCTCCCTTGGAAGCGTCCTGGCCCATGGGAGCCGAGGCGGAGGACGGAGAGGAGCCGGCGATCCCCGTCTTTCCCGGGCAACCCGGACGCTCGCTGGCCGCTGGCGCGTCTGGGCTCCGCCGGCGGGGCATCTCTCCACCGGGAAGCCCTGCCGGAACGGGCGGCGCTAGGACCGCGCCCCGCCGCCTCCGCCCCAGGGACCCCACCCCCTTCTGGTCCTCCTTTCCCACGGGGCGGGGCTCGAGCCACGCCCCCTCTGGGGGCTGATTGACGGGCGGGAGGCGGGCGCTACTTGGAAGCCGAGCCCCATCGCCCAGGTGGCTGAATCACCTTTCTCTTCTGGCCTGTTTCTCCATGCTGCGTCCGATCCATCTTTGGCTGCCCTTATGAAGGAGCCCTCTCCAAAATTTCCTGTCCCCCACAGCCCTGCTCAGCTCTTGCGAACTCAAGCCAGTGGCTTCCTGGAGGAAGTTGGTCCATCTCGCCTTTGGTCGTCCTCTTTTCCTGCTACCTCTCAAAGCAGGCTGGCCTGAGATCCATCCTTTCTTAATGGACAGTCACTGCATTCTTTCAAAGTATCCTGGGCACAGTGTATTTAGTATACTATACCGTGTTTGCTATTATTTTTAATTATGGGACAGTGTAACAAACTACACAGATGGTGGACAACAGTTATTCTTACAATATCATACAAGGGCGGGTGCTGATAAGTATTGAGCCTTTCCCAGAAAAAAAATGAGCTAGGAAGCTATAAATTGCAGGGTGTATTGGCCAATTTGTCCGTATTCAATGGTGCAAAAATGGACTATCCGTGATTTTAACTTATCTTTCATGTTCAGGTCCGAAGTGAACATGGCGGCCCCTCCAGAAAAGCTCCATGTGGAAGAGCATCGGACTCTAACAAAGTTCCTGGTTCTCCAAGGGAAAGGTGCAAAGCAGATCCATGATGAAATGCCACAAACTATGGGTGAGAGGGGCCCTTCATATGCAAGAGTTAAACCTTTTTTTCTTTGTGCTGGGTCCAATCAAGCCTCCCTGGAGCTTCGGCTGCCCTTATGAAGGAGCCCTCTCCAAAATTTCCTGTCCCCCACAGCCCTGCTCAGCTCTTGTGAACTCAAGCCGGTGGCTTCCTTTATGTAGTCAGTCCATCATGTATTGGCGCTTCCTCTTCTCCTGCTGCCTTTCCACCATGCCCAGCATGAGGTCTTTTCCACAGAATCTTCCCTTCTGAGGATGCACCCAAAGTAGGCTGGCCTGAGATTCATTAATGGACAGTCACTGCATTCTTTCAAAGTATACTGGGCACAGTGTATTTACTATACTATACCGTGTTTTCTATTGTATTTTTAATTATGTGACAGTGTAACTAACTACACAGGTGGTGGACAACAGTCTTTCAAAAGGTCGGTTCGCAAGCTTTTTTGAGTAATCTCTTATAATAGCTGAGTAACCTGAGGCACCCCTCCTATCATGTTTGCATAACAAGGCATTTTTAATGAAGTAAAGCCATTCCTTCTCAGAAAGTAGAGGCTTCCTCGCCTCCCAAAGGGCCTGTTTCTCATACAGTGGGGTCTCGACTTACAAACAACCCTACTTGCGAACAATTCAACTTACGAACCCGCCCTATAGGGGAAATAAGGACTCAACATACGAACTTCCCTCGAGTTACGAACAGGAAAAAAGTGCCCCCTCCCTCCCCTTAGAGGCTTCTGGAGGGGGGGGAAGGGTCAGAAACTTTAAAATAAATAAAAGAAAGTCACTTACCAAGCCTTGGTAGCCCCCAAACAGCAGGAAAAAGAGCAGGAAACAGCTAAAAGCCCACACCAGAAGGGAGCCTGGCAGCCCCCTCCTGCCCCCTCCTCTCCCCGCCTATCAGCTGATCGGCTGGCTCTGAAAAGACTTGGGGAGGCTTCCTCAGCACCTAAAAAGCCTGCCTGTGTGTCTTTGTGCTGAAAAAATCAGCACAACATGCTTTAAAACATGATTTAAAATTGGCTTTGTTGAAAAAAAAGATTTCAAAAGTGCTTTGCAAACTGCTCCCTGCCCTTCCTCCTCGTTTTCTGAACCTAAGGGAAAAAAAGAAAAATATATCCCCCTCTAGTGGCAGAAGGCGGAATAACAGCTTCCCATTAGTTTCTATGGACGGAAAAGAGCAGATACAGATTAAATGGTTTTCAATGCATTCCTATGGGAAATGCAGATTCGACCTACGAACTTTTCGAGCTAAGAACCACCTTCCAATACGGATTAAGTTCGTAAGTCTAGACCCCACTGTACATACACAGACACACTTAACTCTAGTATCCCAGAGACCTGGAAGGTCTAGAAAGAAATCACTTGAGAAGGGCTATCACTTGAGATGTAGAATTTCTGAAAACTTCCATTTCTTCGGGGGGGGGATTTATTTGTTGTTTTTCCAGGGGGAAAAATTGAAATACTTGGGAAATCTGACATCTTGAGAGAGAACTTAAATACGTAAAGTCTCAGATGTCTTTCATTAAAGTATTCATGCTATACATACACCATGTCATAGACAGATCATTTATTGTTATAAAAGAACATATTCTACAATCATTTTTTTCAATTTCTCCACAACCCCCCCCCCCGAAAAAGGCTTTGGAAAAAACTGGCAAAATAACCATGTGTCTCCCCCCTCGCAGTTTTTCTGTGTTTTTTCCCCCAAGCATGACTACACCTCAGCAGTAGGCTCAGATAAGAGAAGTAGCACTGTCTGGGCCAGGCAGATCTCAAATTACAGAGGGCTTCCAAGATTAAGGACTAGCAGCTTGAATCTGACAGTTTGAATTTAAATCTGAATCCAGTCAGCAAGCTAATACTGTGCAGATATCACAACCCTGAGTGTGTTGCCATCTCCCTCTTGAGATACAGAATCCCAGATTATGCTACAGATATGCAAATATTTTTCTTTTTTTGTTACAGTTCAAGTTGGCCCTCGACTGCTTTGGTTCTTGAGACAGAAAGCAAATTGGATCCTGTATTTAATACAGGAAGCCTTCACCACCACCTCTGCAGGCCAGGATTTCTGGGAGTTGAAGTCCAAGAATATCTGAAGGCCCAAAGTTGGAGACCACTAATCGTGTATTAGATTCTCCAGGAATGTAAAGGCACAGCTTAAGTTCTTCTAAGGACAGCCAAAATGAAAACCTCTACATTGGTGGTGCCAGTAGTAGCAGTATTTCATCTACATATGTAAGAAGCCAAATTTCCGTTTCCAACCCATAGAGCTAGCATTTGTCCGAAGACCGTTTCCGTGGTCACGTGGCCAACACGACTAGACATGGAACGCCGTGACCTTCCCACAGTGGTGCTACCTATATACAGTGGTGCCTCGCTTAACGAGTGCACCGTATAACGACGAAATCGCATAGCGATTAGGTTTTTGCGATCGCAAAATTACCGATGGCCCCAATGGGCGAAAATCGCAATGCGAGGACCAGTAAGCGGTTCGCTTACCGATCTTTGCATTCCGACGCCCGAAAATCAGCTGTTTGGCGGCTCCAAAATGGAGGCTGTGTGACCCAAAATGGCCACCGCAACCATTTTCGCGCCCTGCCCTCACTTACCGAGGGCGCGAAAATGGTGGCGCAATGAGGAAACTTCGCTGAACGGTGAGTAAAGAAGCCATTGGAATGCATTAAACAAGAATCTCAAACGTTGCGAGTGTTAAACTGCCTTTTCTTAACCCAATTCCCAATACGTTTGTAAAAGCTAAAAGGTTTTTTTTTCATGAATATCTTTCAAAGAAATCAAAAAGCAAGGAGAATTTTTTTTCTTTTTTAAAAAAGAAAATAAATTGAGCTTCTAATCACAATTTAAACACAGAAAGTGAGGAGGAATTAAAGAACCTCTTAATGAGGGTGAAAGAGAGTGCAAAAAAATGGTCTGAAGCCCAACATAAAAAAAACCCCTAAGATCATGGCCATTGGTCCCATCACCTCCTGGCAAATAGAAGGGGAAGATATAGAGGCAGTGAGATTTTACTTTCTTGGGCTCCATGATCACTGCAGATGGTGACAGCAGCCATGAAATTAAAATATGTCTGCTTCTTGAGAGGAAAGTGATGACAAACCTCGATAGCATCTTAAAAAGCAGAGACATCACCTTGCCGACAAAGGTCTGCATAGTCAAAGGTATGGTTTTTCCTGTAGTGATGTATGGAAGTGAGAGCTGGACCATAAAGAAGGCTGACCGCCAAAGGGGACGACAGAGGACTAGATGGTTGGATGGGTTGATGGTAACTTGAGTTACTGGTCCAAATCAATAGTAAACTAGCATAACATTTGAAGATACTGTAATTTGTTTTAGGAAAATTGCAACCTTGAATACAAATTTAACATTGAATATCACATGAGAGGCATAGAATCATAAAATTAGTGAAATTGGAAGGGGCCTATAAGGCCATCCAGTCCACCCCCCTGCTCAATGCAGGAATACAAATCAAAGCAAAGCAGATCGTCTAATTTTTTTTCTTGAATGCTTCCAGGGTTGGAGCACTCACCCACTCCCAAGGTCACTGGTTCCATTGTCGTACTGCTCTAACAGTTAGGGCGTTTTTCCTGATATTAAACCGAATTCTGGCATGATACTTATTCCTTTATCACTGGGTGTTAATTTGATTGGTATAATTTTCCCACCTCTGCGCTGGGCGTTAATTTGATTGGTATAATTTTCCCACTGTTTGTTTGTTTGTTTCTTTCTCTCAAAGGAATCAAGGTGGCTTACAGTTTTAAAAGGAAAAAAAGTTAGAAGTTAATAAGCCTTGTGGTGCAGTGGTTAAAGACAAGACTCTGCTCACAAGCCAGGGATCAATCCCAGGTAACTATCTTGAGATTCACTCAGCCTTCAATGTGTAGCTTGCAGAATTAAATTTTAACCACCCCCCAGAGAGTGCTTTACAGACTGTCAGGTGGTAGATAACCAGCACACTTTGCTTTTGCTTCAATAAATTGCAGTATTCACAAAGCATTAAATAGATCCATTTAATTAAATGATGAT